CGAGTGCAAAAGGCTCAAGGCTTGAAATGCATTCATGGGCTCTAGTAAAAGATGAAAAAACCAATTTATGATAACAAATTCAGAGTGAATATTTACCGGACGTTGACTTTCGTGTACGTTATCTGAGTGGTTTTACGGGCAGTAATGCTTACGTTGTGGTGACGAATAAAGAAGCATTATTATGGACCGATGGAAGGTACACCATTCAGGTGTGTTTTTATTAAATTGCTTTTGATAATTGCATAATGGTTAATTTGTCTGAAGGCAAAGAAGCAGTTGGGTGATGGATGGAAGATAATGGAAGAAGCAACACCGAAGTCGATAACACCACTCGATTGGATTGTGCATAATATGCCAACAAATTCAGTAGTTGCATTCGATGCACAACTTCATACTTACGGTTATTATTTATTGGTTTTTGATTGTGTTTAATTGAATTGTTTAAGGTGATGCGACACGCATTATTGATGTGTTGAAGAGTGCCAATATGAAGTGTTCGATTCTGAACGAAAATTTAGTGGATAAATTATGGGTGGATCGTCCACGGAGAAGTTCAAATAAAGTTATTATTATTGCTATTCTTCTTGTTATTATCATCAAGATAAGGGACTTTATCATTTGATATATATTAAGGTAATAGCGCTGGAGAAAAGTGAGCATGGACAGGAATCGAGTGACAAAATAGATGAAATTCGTAAGAAGATGATGAAAAAGAAATGTTCTTCTGCCATATTCACTGCGCTTGATGATATTGCTTGTGAATTTTACATCGTATTACTTATTTGTCAGTTGTATAAAGCAGTAACAAATAACTGATCAAGGACAATTAAGGGTTGTTGAATATTCGTGGTGCAGATATACCTTATAATCCGTTAGTGTATTCGAACGTGTTGATCACCGAAAAAGAGGCTCATCTTTTCATTGATGAGAACAAATTGGATGATAATATAAGGAAAAGATTGCCGGTTATCACTCATGATTACGATCACACTGTGGACTGGTTGAAGAATTGGAATGAAGAGCAAATAAGGAACAATAGAGAGACACATAAGGTGATATTGCTTTATTGTTACGCAGCTTTGGTGAATAACTGAGTACTGCAGGTGTTGCTGGCGGATACGGTGAACTATCAGATCGGTTCTGTATTTGGTAAGGACTTTGCGGTGGTGGGCGCTTCATTGATACAGAGTATGAAGGCACGCAAAAACGACATCGAATTGGAACGATCTCGATTAGCGCATGTTCCTTTTTGCTTAATTTATTATTGCTATTGCAAATACAAATAGTTGTTGTTGTGCTGACACTCGGTATGGAACGACAGTGGTTGAAATTAATCGAATATCTATTTGAAGATGCGAGATAGCGTTGCACTGGTCGAGTTCTTTTGTTGGTTGGAGAACGAGTTACGGAGTGGTAATCAAGTGACCGAGGTGATTTGGTTCTGTGGTTTTGATTGTTTTGTGTATGAGTGAGAATGAAATTGCAGTTGAAAGCCTGTGAGAAGGTGAAAGAATTCCGTGAGAAGAAACCGTACTACGTGGATCTGAGTTTCGAGACAATCGCTGCAGTAGATGAGCATGCAGCATCACCGCATTATGCGCCTGATCAGATCACTGGACAACGCGCCATCACCGAGCATTCGGTCTTTTTGCTCGATTCCGGAGCTCATTATCGGTATATTTTGAGTTGTGTTCATTGAGTGTATAAGAAGTGAATGGTATATTTAGTGATGGAACAACGGATGTGACACGAACGGTGTCGTATGCGAATGAATTGGAGGATGAGTTGAAATTCTTGAATACTTTGGTTCTCAAAGGACATATTGACACGGCTATGATGCAGTTCCCTGATGGAATCAATGGTGATGGAACGTTTGATTTGTTTATGCAGCTATATGTTCGAACGATAGTGTTGTTTTTAAAGGCATACGAATCGATGTGATCTCACGTCAACATTTGTGGGAAAACGGATTGGACTTTGGTCATGGTGTAGGACATGGAGTGGGACACTTCTTGAATGTGCATGAAGGACCGAGTTGGTTTTGCATTTATTGTCAGAGTGAAGTAGCATGCTGCATATGCACCTGTGCTGCCTGCATAAATTACGCAAATTCCAATAAAATTCAACTGCAGTTCTCATTAAGTGCAAATGATATTGTGCAGTTGATCATAATGCTATCGGTATTGAGTTCTTATCGCATTATTTCATTTATTTCAACTTTACTATTATTTTGAGACATTCTAATGGTTTCTTATTATTATCATCGATTTAGTTGGCATTGGATATAGAAGATATTCGCCAGAAGGAGCGATTCATGAAGGGATGATAATCACGATTGAGCCGGGTTATTATTCAGAAGGGAAATGGGGGATTCGAATTGAGAATTGTTATGAGGTTTAACATTTTTGTTATTCTGTTATTGGTTATTGAATTGATGGATTGATGTGGTGGTATTAATTGACAGGTTGTGAAAGCACCGAAGACACGTTTGGGTTCGGATAATTTCCTGACATTCGAACCGTTGACTTATGTACCGATACAGAAATCATTAATCGATAAGCAGCTGCTCTCGAAAAATGAGGTGAATTTATAGTTGATTATTTGATATGATGATGAAACTAACGTGATGAAATTCAGGTGGATTGGTTGAATAGATACCATGAAAAATGTCTAGAAAAGGTCGGAGAGTACCTTTTAAAAGAGAAAAAGAAAGACGTGTACGATTGGCTGACAAAGGCATGCAGTCGACTGTGATACTATCGTCTTGTTTGATGCTCTCGCTGATTTTTGAGTTGCGTTTCGATCATTCCCTATAGAGTGTACTCTTGTTGTGCTGTTATTATTGCATATGATGAATAAATGAATTGAATTGGTGTTGATTGATTGGTAATTAATCTTAACTAATCGAAAGGGAGAGCATTTGATGTGATGCACATTAATTACGTCTTAAAATTGATCACAGAATTTTATTTCGATCGTGAGAGAGTGTTCGGAACGGGCAGATAGCAGTTTGTTTCGCAAATGTTTTGTTGAGTTGAACTCGTTCTCAGCAAATTATTACACAGGTGTGTATATTGTGTGTATGTTAACAACTGATTTATTATAAGAAGAATATTAAATCAACTGATATTTGAAATCGAATGGAAATGAGCATACCGGGTGAGGAAAGGGATGACCAGGTGATGCATAAAGATGAACTGCGATGTGCTTCAAAAGAGCACCGTTCTCATCGCACGTCGTGCACAATACCTCCTCCTGAACAACCCTTAAATGCTGCCTCAACATCACATCACCCATCTCGATTCCATGTCCAAAAATCAAAAGTTGATTTCGGAACGATCGACGACTCAATCGATCGTGAGTTCGAATGTAATCATTTCCTGTTCAATGATTACTTCAAAAACGATAATTCTATTGACAATCTGAACGACCAGCAAGCGTTATTCAGTCCTTATGATGTACTTATGCGATTGCAATTCCCCTTCAAAAAGAATCGTCGTACTCATTCACATTTTCTCAAATTCAAGAATTATTGGGAAAACTATTCCTTCTATGCGATTTGGCGCAAGAAATTCATCGAAGATCATTGCTGCGATGAGCAGGATATCTGGAAGGAGGTAAGTTCATTGCTTTTGTTTGATATCGCACCATCATCAAACAAATTTCAGTTCTTCATCGCATCCGTACCGCACCTCATAATCAATCTCTTTCTCGTTCTGTACGTTATCGGTGGTGCTGTCATATTTCAAATCGTCGATGAGAGTATCCGTCAAAATCCATTTCATATGGTCATTCTCTTCACATTCACCACTGTTGCTACTGTTGGTCAGTTCCTTTGATTTAGTTACAATACTCATTACTAATGGTTAATATTATTACTTGGACGTCGAGTGGTTGTTTTGTCAATCGCTGGGAGCAATCGGCGGAATATTTATATTACTAGAGTTATGATTATTTATTGGAATGAT